ATCTGACAAGGATGCCCCCTGGGCGCCTCCTGGGTGAGGTGTTCCAGGCATGTCCCACCGGGAGGAGGCCCCGGGGCAGACCCAGGACACGCTGGAGAGATTATATCTCTCGGCTGGCCTGGGAACGCCTTGGTGTTCCCCCGGATAAGCTGGAGGAGGTGGCTGGGGAGAGGGAGGTCTGGGCCTCTTTGCTTAGGCTGCTGCCCCCGCGACCCGGCCCCGGACAAAGCGGATGAAGATGGATGGATGGATGGATGGATGGATGGATGGTTCTGATATATGCCTGATGTTGATGCTTAAAGTTGCTCAAAAAGATGCTTGAAACTATGAAAAAGTGGGACTTTGAGTGGAAGAAAATTAATTTGTTTACAGTTTTTCAACAATGAAAACATAATGTGGTTAGCTCCTGTACTTACAAAATAAAAGCTCAGAAAATGCTGCAAAAATGATGCAAATCATCATTATCATTAATTCCTACTAATTTCATTTACTGAAGTGGAAAAATTCAACCTAACATCCTGCACTTAGAGGCCCTTTTTTGTAACATGGACAATTGCTGCAGTCAAAAGGTGAAAATTCACATGACCTTATTAAATACACGAATAGTACCTACAAAAAACCCCCAATTGATTCTGAAGGGGTCAGCTGACCGATTCTTCATGGAATGAAGTACAATTGCCAAGTACAATGGCACGTGTCTTTGTCTGACTGACAAAACAAGTTCACAAAAGTTGGTTTGCCTTTGCTGCATAACAAAGAGCACATTGTCTCGAGGGCAAATGTCTCAAAGACGGTGAACACATAACGCTGATGTCTGTCTATCCCATTTTATCCGTTAAAAAAAGCTGTTTATCGTACATACAGCAATTGAGCCTGTTTCAGTATTTTTTCTCACATTTCAAGTCCTTAGATAATTTTTATAATTTATGCGTATATACACTGGAGTCTTGGCAAAACTAAAAGTCCTTATGTTTTTTTCTGGCTTTGTTTATCAAAGTTGTGGGTGGCTGATTTGTTATTGTATAACAGCACTATGCGCTCGTGTCTGACAGCTCTAAAAATCAGAAGGGACTCCCTGTTTGAGACATTAGAACCATAAACAAGAACTACAGCTGTCTTAAAGATGACTAAGTAGGTTACTTTGTCATCCAGCAGCATTTACTTTCAACACAACCCCTGAAAAAACCCCTAACACTGTCATTTTCATTTATTGGTGTGAAACTGAAGCGAAGACGCCAGGGACGACTATTAGTTTTGATAAGTAAACCAACTGTAGAACTCTAAATTACACAAAATACACAGAGCTAAAGACGTGCATGTGCAAGCACATCTTCAGCCAGATGATCTCCTTGTTCCTCTCTTCCTCTGTGTCTTCATCCATAATTGGGACTATCTGAGCAGAACCATGTAGCCTTTTCTTTTCTACTGTTTGACCTTTATTACTAGAGTTAGCTGCCTTTCCTTATTAATAGTGCTTAGAAGCAGTTTCAGAAAAGTTTATGCTTATACATCAGAGAGACCGATTTGACTGGACCAGTGGGAGAGAACGCACGAGGGCTTAATAGTTTTTCTTGGCCACAAACAGCACAAATCACTTCTGTTGGCAAACTATCAGTCATTATGAATGCTCAGGAGATTCACATAAGCACACTGATGAAAGAGATTGTGTTGTGTGTTGTGTACATGTTGAAATTCTGAAATTGAAATAAGAAGAGAAATGATCGTCTGTATAGTTACGTTTTAAAGTGAGGAAACATCTGTCAAAAAGTAAAAATCCATCTAATTCTGGCTTTAAAAAAAGTCATTTGTCTCCCATCTTGGTGAATAAAATTCTTGAATTTTAATCAGTCTTATAGGACTAATTAGCCGATATGTGCGTCTGTGCATTGCATCCATACAGTTGATGGTTGTAGCTTGCTAATTAACCTCGTAAGCATTAGCTAATAACTTAGCGCTCTACCCTTTTACTCAAATATGGTCACGTGTAACTTTAACTCCCACATTAACGGCTAAAACCACTCCCTTTGACGCAGAGTTTAAAGCTAGTGATGGGTGACAAAAAGTGGTCACCTCCAAGTAGGTCAGTAGTAGCTTCATAGGCATGAAGTAAACTTCTTAACTATGTTGGCTACATTGGGGCTTTTTCAAGCACTTGAAAATTCCCAGGCAACAAATGTGCCTGATGTGACTAATACTAAAAGTCCTCCATGAAGGACGTAACTGTGTTGAAGACTGTATTTGTAGGTTACATCAGTGCTATTATGTGCAGCCACTATCCAAACTAGCAGACAAACTAGCCCCTCCTGGATAAGCTTGAGCTGATAAATTAGGAGCGCGTTCTCCTAAATACGGTAACCTCTGGCTACAAAAGACAAAAAACAAGAGCTATAATCCAAGTTTGAAGGCAACAAAACGGGAGTTCACAACACAGTTGGCGTTCATCTTCTATAGTAACACATAAAGTTAGAGCTACTGTTCTCACTAAAGTCTCGGTGATATATCAGGAAATATGAGCAATCTGCTGATCTGCATTCATAATGGCTGACAAATGAAAATTTAAAAAGTAAACAAGAGACGGGAGAAATGGCCTTCAACCATGTTAAGAGTGTTAAAGTTGCACCGTTTGTCCAACAGAGGGCACTCTGAAATTTCCCCGTTGGTAACACAAATGGCAAAAAACAAAAACCAGCTAATCTGAGCAGCCAGTTAATCCAGTACGGTAATAAAGTCAGATCATTTTAAACGGCGCCGTCATGTGATTTTAGCAAGAACTCACAAATGAATACACATAACAAATGTTAGGGGGATCTGTTTACGGAGCTTCTGATACAGACTTGTATGGAAGGACTTGTTAAAAACGTTGTCATTGTCCGAGCATTAGATAAATGTGGATAGCACCACATTTGGGAAGATGACGCGCCCCTCCCTGAGTGTGGGCTGAAAACAAATGGCCATCCATCCTTGTAGGTGCTTCACTGGCAGATACGGCTGTGGATGTATATGAATGGTTGCTTTGTAATTTAAACCTACATTATGTCCAATATATGTAATATGTCTCTATGTCGAGCCTGATTTAGAGCACGAGCCAAAACAAGTAAAGAAGTAATGGAGATATTTTTTTATTCTTCAGTGTTGCTTAAGTTTTGACCTCATAAAGTTGAGAAGTTAGGCCTTATAAATGATTCAATATTAGATTATTTTTCTGTCAATTATTTGATCGATAGCTGAGGTAGTTATTTAAGCATTGCAGAGATGGATGGTAGAAACAGCAGAGTGCAGCCAGAAGCCTATAAGGAAATAAACTGAGGTGAAACTAATTTAGATGCTGTGTGGAAGCAAACTGCTACAGCATCTCAGACAAGTTACGATCACTTGGGAAACCTTGCTAAATGGCAAAAGAACCAAGGTCAGACACAAATGCCTGGAACGCACTCGTTTGAAACATTTCATGAGGTGAAAATCGTTACTTCATGTTCCAAAGCAGTTTTGATACATTTAAAAAAAAATACACACACTAGTTCCTCTGCCCGTGGGCAGCTACCTTTGGCCTTATTAGTGTGTAATTGATCGCACCTATGTATGGGCATGCTCAGTCTGAATGTGTGATTTGTCAGTTGTGGCAGCAGTTTGTTTGTTCATCTCCATCTTAAGATGAGAACAGTAAAGTTCAGTGTGGCCGGGCAGTTTAATCAGGACCTCCGCCTCCCTCTCTAGAAGCTTTGAGACATCAGAATTTAACTCTCTGGGATGCTTCTGGGTCAGCAGTGTGAGTGAAGAATCCACAAGGGAAAGCGTGCTGAGCTATGAAATGGCACTTTCTAATCTTAATCTTAAGGCCTTCTGTGTATGTGTGTTGATCCAGCTCGCAAACCCAAAGCCATTTCTGTCACTGTTCTCCTCCCCCACTACAGCCACTCAAACTGGATGACTGATGTCTCATGCTGGATGTGCTTTGCACTTTTTTCCTCTCCAAGACCACAGGCATGTGTTGATCTCCTTAATTTGTCAGTGACCCGTGAGTCATTCCACTGATTATCCTTTCCACCCAAGGGAATTCAGAAATTACTGTTAATACAAAATGAAAAGAGGCCTATTATTCTTTTGCCTCATTTTCAGTCACTATTATAGTGATGGATGCTCATATCAAACATGGCCAAAGTTTCAGATCACGTGTAATCCCTGTGAGCCAAAAGCTCAGGGTTCAGATTGCTCTAAATATTCTCTTTCAGGCGCTCAGCACCAGCTGTCAGAACAATGTTGGTTTAAAGGTGGGTGGAACGAGTGTAAACAGCTTGTTTCAGACAGTAGGTGAACTAAGGGACTTCACCAAGTCCTAGTCTAATGCAAAGAAGGATTATTCTGAGCTGTCAATCCTGAATAGCTACTTCAGCAAAGTCGGATGGAAAGCAGAATAACAAGTCTCAATTAGAGATGAATTTTGGCAACAAGCTTGAAGGTACTCTAGCATCCTTGTACACAGCAGAAACAGTAACTGATATAGCATGGGCGGATAGACCGAGGGTGTGGTTGTTGCAACCTACAGGTGAAAGAAATGTGCTCTTAAACTGAGGTCTGTGGGTTAGTGTTGTGTATTGATTTAAAATCAATCACCAGTGTACCAATACACTGTTCATGATTCATTAGCTTACACCAGACTGTTGCTCTATTTCTATTGTTATTTTCATCTATATTTTAAAAGTGAATAAATATATGAGCGATCAAACTGACCATAGCTACAGTGTTTTCTCTGTGCTCATCTTCTCTTACATTCTGCAAGCTTACCCATAAGACTATAGCCGAAAAGAGGCCACATGAAGTTTGGAGGTTCGTAACAATTTACTCTGCAGAAATTTAGCAACTTCACTATGGTGAGGATTGTAGAGAGCAGTGTGAAAGTACTGGAGTGATGTGAAATGTAATTTAAATGTATAAAAAAGCATATTTTTATTCCTGTGCAAGCAGATTTCATGGGAGACATAATGTCACTGGATGACACTCACCTGTGCCACAGCCACTTGTGTCTGCTGCTGTTGCTGCTGGAGCTGTTGCTGGAGCAGTTGGATCTGGTGGTGCACAGACAACGGGGTGCTGGGTGGCAGTATGCCTGATGCTGGGAGCAGCATCTTGGGGCTGGACACCAGCAGGGAAGCCTCCTCTGAAGGCTGCTACCAGAGGGAAAAGGGGGAAATGAGGTCAGCATGATGAGGCTTCAAACAGAAAATCCTGCAAACTTGTTATTATGAGCACATTTACGGGTGGAAGAGCCTTCAAATGAATCACCGTGGACCAAAAATACAAAAATAAATGATACATAAGTCCATGCATCCGTCTATCCATCCATCTCAGCCCCTCCTGGATGGCATTTTTTCCAAAAATCAAAGTACGTTTGTTCTAATATAACAAGAAATTGGTTGTAAAAGTTGAAAATAGTTCAAGTTAACAATTAATTTGTCATGGTTTCTGACAGAATATCTAGATACAAGTCCCGAAACATATTTCCAGCAACCGTCAGTGTACTAATGGCACATTGTGCTACCTAATGCAAGTGTATCATATATCATCCAAAGTGTCAAAAAAGGGAAGATGTCATACATCTTCGCCTTGCTCATGCGGGCACTATTTAACAAAGCTGCTAGTTGACAGTCTGCAAGGTCCCTGTTGGACACGCTGTCTGTTCCAGTAGTCAGTCTGTGGTGTTTTGTGAAGGGAGCAGTACGTAAGTACATTATTTATTTACACCGCCTTTCAAAATACAAATGAAATATCAGTCTAAGAAGACAGTTTTAAATCTGTTATTTACAGCAGTTTTGTGCATGGCGCTGCCTTCACGTCTTATTACTATGGTTAGCTGTTGGAGTGATCTACAGCTTTTGAGGATTGGACATTAAATTGTTATTGCACTAAAGAACAAGAACGTTGTAGTGACATGCAAACTACGTCTAGAACAGAAACAATTGCTAACACAACTTTAGCTCTCACTGCTGTCTACTGTTTCACTCACTCACTGAGAGGACAGACGCACGCTCCACTTGACTGTCGCGTCTCTCACCCTCTCTGTTTTTCCACATAATGATATTATCTTGTATCCTCGCATGTGATTGGCCACAATGTGGAGGGATTGGAGCATAGCTGAGCCACTGTGTGAGAGCTGAGCAGCGAAAGGAAATTAAGTGAGGAGCTGGCTCGCGCTCATTACATTGTGTATCATGGATACTGTTGACTCCAAATCTCCCGACCACTATGTCGATCTGAGACAGCGAGATGGAGACAGTGAGACCAAGACAAGACCGAGACCAAAGTCTGTCAAGACCAAGACCACGTAAAAGTGGTCTCTTGAGACATCCAACTCTAACTTGCAGCACTATAACTTCCATTTTCACCTATCCATGTTTCTACAGTAGTGAGTAACGTCCCCAACACTGCTAATAAGTAGTACAGGACATATAAAATGACCCAGATATTTAAGAAATACATAATTTGATAAAACACAATATTTCACGTAAAAAAAGTAAAATGAATATCAGAGCTTGTGTTTTGCTTCACATGTTGCAGGTGTATCTGTTAAAATTGCACACTCATGCTCGTTTTAACCATGTACTACTTCAAACACTTTTTCTAACTTGCTCATAAGAAGCCGATGATGCAAATCAAAAGTAAAAAAAAGAGAAAGAAAAGAAAAGGCTTTGCTAATGAATAAATAAATACAATCAGGACAAGCAATAGCGTCAATAAAATGCCTTGGAGAACAAGCCGTCATCAAAACAACAATCTGAATTTAAAATGTAGAGTTGCTGATTAGTTGCACCAGTGTGGAATGAGTGGTGCTGCCCTGGAATGCAGATCAGTAGCACTGAAATGCTCCACTCCAACAATAATGAGCTTTGGGAATCAGCTCTCCTTCATCTAACGCCATGAAGCATCGTATTATAGTTTCAAGGCTTTAGTTACCGGTCACACTTCGTGGCCTTTCCGTCATTCAACTAGTCAAAATATATATATTTCTGTAATACAATGGCCAAATAAAATATCTCATAATCCATGCTAATGATGACATCCAAGCAGACACAACATGGAAATACATTTAAAACACGTGCTGTTCCAAAAAATACACAGCCATATTCTCTTCTCCGTCATCAGATAGGAAGATAAATGCAGGTATTAAATCCCCTCTTGAAGCGGTCCTTAAAAACAGACTATTACACGTTGGTATAGAGGAATAAAAAAAAAAAGCACTCTCAGACATACACGGAGACCTTGAGATTATAGCGTACATGTTTTCCTCCAAAGGCATTTACCACACAGACTGATACAGGCTGAAGGCCATGTAGTGCCCCAAAGGTAAAACATTAAGTGCGCTTTGCTGTGATGGACCAGTCATGGCAGTAGTGAGAGGAGTCTAACAGCGAGCTGACATAAATTCGGAAACCTCGGGGCCTAATAAATGAAGCCAAGTGCCAAAAACTGCAGTTCCTTAAGGGTCACTGGAGGCTGGCTTCAAAAGCGAGTCAAATTGATTATTTTAAAACCCCTAAATGCTGTCGCGACTAAGTTAGGCTGCTTTGACTGATCTGTGTAACAGCACACGCTGTGTAGATGGCCTCTTTTAATTGAAGTTACTGAACTCCACCTGTCTTGAAAGTTACTGTTTCACTGAGTTTGTGTAGTTGGAGGAATTTTAAATGGGTGGATATATATTGTGGCTTGAAAGCCTGCAATCTAGTTTTAGTGACCGGAAAGTTTGTATTTATCAATAAGCCTCTCATCACTGTGTCATCTGTGGCTACAACTTAGCAACCAAACTTTCATGCCGATAAAGCAAGAATGAGCTGGTGGTGGCCATCACACCAAAGTGGATGCTTTAAAATGTGAAAACACTGGGTGGTATCACTTCCACTGCCACCTCTCTTACCTCCTGATGTGGACATTGTCGCCCTTAAAAACGGAGCAGTTTGCACAACTAGTGTATCGTAGCAGCAACACCACAGACCACCTTGTGCATACACCTGTGATGCTACCAGTTTCTGACAAAACTGCGATATTTATGTGTAACAGTGTTGGTCAGCCAGCCAGATATATGTGGATATCAAAAGCTTTTGAATAGAGCTGCTGTGTATTCGAGGGCAAAGTGTTTCATAATGAATCAAATGCTATTGGACGGTTGGGGCGACTGGCGATCAGAAACCTGATGAAATTGAACCTTAACCTGCCTTAAGGAATCTACGCCAAAATACTTCACAGTCTGTCTCTCATGCCTTCTGGTGACACCAAGAGCAGACGCACTCTGCATGAGAGGAAAATGTGACTGATGGCCTGCCTGACACGGACCTTTTATGTTAACGAGAGGAAATTATCCAGGTTGACAGGTTGTTTGGCGCCATCATGATTTGAATAATAAGACAGAAGTCTCCAGAATGAGTGAGAGTGTGTGTGTGTGTATAAATGTGAGATAAGAGAGAATTTGTTGGCGATGACTTCTCAGTAACAAGCAGGATCCCGATAAACGTGTTTTCTCTTATGTGCCTCTTTTTAACACACACTTCCTTCACCTTTATTCCATTGGAGTTACTCCGAGATACGTAAAACAACTGCTCAGCTGCTAAGTAAAGGACGGTAAGCAGGATTATTGCGGTAGCTTTGAAGCTGGGTTGTCAGACAGAGAAGGTTTAGCAAGTGGAAGCGTGAATAAGATAATTCAGCACTTAAAGCAACACAGAGGAAAGAGGATGGCATGTTTGGCTCACGAGTACTGTGGACACAGGAACTATTCCCAATTATAGAGAAACAGAAGGAGAAGACAGACATAAATAGACTGTCAGCTGGCGCAGAAGAAGACATAACACAGATGGAAAGAAATCCCATTCCAAAAGTACACTGATTTAGTCATCTGCAACATTTTCCCATCTGATAAATGGTAAATGGCCTGTATTTATATAGCGCTTTTCTAGTCCCTAAGGACCCCAAAGCGCTTTACACAACCTGTCATCCACCCATTCACACACACATTCACACACTGGTGATGGCAAGCTACAATGTAGCCACAGCCACCCTGGGGCGCACTGACAGAGGCGAGGCTGCCGGACACTGGCGCCACCAGGCCCTCCGACCACCACCAGTAGGCAACGGGTGAAGTGTCTTGCCCAAGGACACAACGACCGAGACTGTCCAAGCCGAAGCTCGAACCGGCAACCTTCCGATTACAAGGCGAACCCCCAACTCTTGAGCCACGATCGCCCCATAAACTGTTTACTACCAGTGATGTTTCCCATCACTTATAACAATGATTGTCTATGCCATAACTGCATATTAGAAAAGCCATTATACTGCTTTTGCAAAATCCATTGTCAACATCCAAAGAATGTGTCACGGAGGACTGGAGCTGTTCTAGCACCTAATAAGCAGTTTTGAGGAAGCACATAGGAAATTTCAGCCTCTTTGGGATGTGGGTAGTTCAAGAGTTGTCATTTTCCCCCTCATATAACATCAATGGTGAACAAAAGAGCTAAGGCAGGCCAAATATATGGTACCATACTAGACGCAAACAGCAGCTTACTATGCATCAAACAAAGGATTCCAGGCAAAGGAAGGTAATTCCTATGCAGACCAAACACATGAAGTTTGTCAGGTGCACTAACCATAAATTATAGGATGTAGTCACAGACTATATATAAAAAATAGATGGTTTGTGCCTTTAGCCCTAAGGTCACAGTTACAACTCTGGCTGCATAGAAGCATAGAATCAGTTTATGGCGCTTATTTGAGTCAGAGGAGGATAACGCACACAATGATTTGTCTTGTGGCTGTTGAGTTGACTTGATGTATGCTTACTGTATTCTAATTATATACGTTTTGAAATATATATTTTTGAAAGCAGCAGAAAAAAAACTGTGCAACGAATACACAGCATATCGACAAAAGCAGTGGGCCACCTACAGGAGCTGCGCAGCCTTGGAAACCTAAGCCATGAAGCTCCCAGCACACAGCTCTTTTGCTGATGTTAACTTCAGAGGAGGTCTGAATCTCTGCATTCCTATATACTGTAAATCATAGGAATAGTAGTATAAAAGAAAAACCCGATGCATTTTACAGATGAATTGCTTGACAGCTGCATTGATAAAAGTGGTAATGATTGTGGATGTAGGAGTATGCTACCATTTTACTTTCAAGC